ATAATGAAAGAGTTTTTGTTTTTGATTTGTTTTATTTCATTAAGTAATAATTTAAAGCTTTCTATAGATATATTTATCATGTCTGTGAGACATGTATTCGCGGAGTTTTGGTTCATTTTTGTGAAGCGCTCCTGTTCAAGACGAGACTTCAGAAAGCGCATCATGTTTGTTTTCCTTATTTTATAAAAGCACAGCGTCTCGGGCCAGGGCCGGGCTAGGGCCTAAATTTGAGGCCCGTGCAGGGCTCTACTTCCTCTAATGTTGTCGACATTATTTTATACAGATCTGTCAAAGTTTAAATGATGACCCGATTCACCTGGATCAGTGCTGTGAATGTTTAATCATATGTATCTAACGAGGCGTTCTGTGGGAACACATCCCGGTTTAAACTCTCTCTCTGTTCTGATACGTATTAAACGCGTGTGGTCTGTCCTTCCACAGGCCTGTTTTGACTGCAGACCCAGAATGATCAGCAAACGCTGGAAGGAGAATCCCGCTCTGTGTGCCAACGTACCGACACAACATCAGTTTGACCAAAAAAAGTGTGTGAGAAACACTGCAAACTCATTGTCACACGTTAAAGGCAAAATATGTAAGATTTTTTTATTAAAATATCCAAAGACCACTAGAACAGTGTTATATATTTTGCTGACTTGTGTACTTACATTATCCCAAATGTTTAGAAGAATATTTAAATCCAGAGAAATAAGCAATTTTAACTAGTGACACGGACCGTGTCCATAGTGTCATTGTGTCGCCTGCCAATGACGTCATAACCCCTCGATTTCCGGTTTTGTTTTGTAGAAAACATGGAAACACCAAAGAATAGACCGAGTTTTGGTTCATTTTTGTGAAGCGCTCCTGTTCAAGACGAGACTTCAGAAAGCGCATCATGTTTGTTTTCCTTATTTTATAAAAGCACAGCGTCTCGGGCCAGGGCCGGGCTAGGGCCTAAATTTGAGGCCCGTGCAGGGCTCTACTTCCTCTAATGTTGTCGACATTATTTTATACAGATCTGTCAAAGTTTAAATGATGACCCGATTCACCTGGATCAGTGCTGTGAATGTTTAATCATATGTATCTAACGAGGCGTTCTGTGGGAACACATCCCGGTTTAAACTCTCTCTGTTCTGATACGTATTAAACGCGTGTGGTCTGTCCTTCCACAGGCCTGTTGCATTCCTTCTTGAGCATCAGTGAATGTTAAAACTTTTTTAATAGTTGTGTACAAGTCCTTCCGTTTTCTTCAGTGTGAAAAGAGGGGTCTCAAAATCAGTACACTGCGGGAATGGGTTCAAATATGCAAAAGATGCTGGAAAGCCATAGGAATTTATGGTATCTGGAGGATTTTTATGAAGAACAGTGGGTGGTTTAACTGTTCAGGACAAACAAGGAACTCAACAAATATTACAAAACAAAAAAAACTGTCAATGACACACAGTATTAAGAATAAAGCGTATGTAAACATTTGACCGCAACTGTACCTAATGTTTAATTGCTTTAAAGGTTTTTAAAAACAATTGTCATTTAAAAACATTGAATTAGTTTGATGTTAAAATAACACATCAATACTAAAAAGACCAGCAGCTGTTCTGTGAGATCTATGTCTGTTTGAGGTACTGCATTACATCAGTGATCCAGCAGGTGGAGACACATGAAACTAAACAAACTTCATCTGTGTGTGTTTTTAGGAACCACTCATGAAGAGATTGTACAGGAGTCTAAAAAACACTGGAACAAAGAGCGTGTGAGTTTCTTCTCAATTATTAATGAATAGAAATATAAGTAATTTTTAAATAGTGCGTTATCATTATTTACTTACCCTGGTGTTGTTGTTCTAAAGTAGGATGACCTGTCCTTCTTTCACAAACAGAGAAATATTCTTCTCACACTTCATATAATGGCAGTGGAGGGTGACCTTCTTCAAACTTTAGAAAAGGATGTGAAAATGTCAAAGTTTCTTTAGCGTGAACCAAACCGAAATGTTGTATGTGTGTGAGTGAGTGTACGGCATGAGGATTTTATTTTGGAGGAAGGATCCTTTTAATGCTTAGTGTTAGAGGTTTCATAACTATGAGCACTGGTACTAGTGAAGATTGATTTGGTAAACAGCAGTTATTAGTACATTGATTTTTATAAAGCATGTGGCAATAATTTCTCAACTCTATATATTGTGTTTCCATCAGCCTGCGGTCATAGCTTCACGCTCACCGAACAAAATCACTGCCGCCAAATCAAAGAGTCCAATCAGAAACGAGGAGACAAATGGGAACATGGGTCCTGTGCAGGGAACAGGAAGTGCTGAGGTCAAAGGTCACAGACTGGAGCTGATGATGAAGTTTGTGTGCGGTCAGTGCTGGAGAGACGGGCTGGTCAGTGAACCGGACCGAGCACTGAAATACTGCACCGCTAAAGCCAGACACAGGTGCAGACGGATGGACAGACGCTCACACACACACACACACACACACACACCTGGACACAACTGTCTCACTCTCTTCCTCTGTCTGTCTCTCTTCAGCTGGACCAAAGACAGGAGGGTTTTACTGGTCAAATCCCAAGAGAGGAAGAAGTGGGTCGCAGTTCGACCTTTGCCCTTTGCCAAGACCTTTCCTCAACAATATGACGTGAGTAAAAACCAGTAGTGGATAAAGTACCTGAAAGCCATACTCAAGTAAAAGTACAGATATCTTACCAGAAAATGACTTTGGTAGAAGTTGAAGTTAGGGCTGCACGGTAAATCGCATGTGATTGTCATGCGCATCTCGTCAGTAAAGCCGGTTCTGTGATTAGTAGTAAATCTCCACCACGTGCTTTCAGATGGAGCGGCATTTACTACACAGAGCCGTAGTTCACTGACAAGCTACGCAATATCACATTCATAATCGAAGGCGATTCATCTGCGATTATGAAAGCGATATTGCGTAGCTTGTCAGTGAACTATGGCTCTGTGTAGTAAATGCCACTCCATACTTAGATGTATTTGCACCATTTAATGTATCTCAGAGGGGACATAGATGCATTTAACCTGCAGTTACAGATGCATAAATGTTTTGTTTTTAACATAAAACATTAAATACTGATATTTGAAATGATTTAAAACATGAAAAAATAGTCGAAATGTGAAATTAAAACCGCCAGTAGGTGGCAGCAAGTGACTGTTAATGAGTCATTGAGATTCTACCGATTCATTCAAACGACTGATTCATTCAGAAACAAAGCATTTGACTGTGTTAATGAGTGAATCACTGAATCATTTATTCAACCGATTCGTTCAAAAAACTGATTCATTCAATAAGTAAACACCGTCCATTGCTCAGAGACGCAAAACAGTGCTGTGATCTTCGTTTGGAACTATTTTCGTTGGCAAAATTTAGCAAAAACAGGCAATTTTGTGTCTAAAATGTAAGGCACTTAATGCTAACTTTATTAAACTTTATCAAACATTTATTTGTTATCATGCTGATATCTGGGGGAAAAACTTCACTCTTTGTTTGATATAGATTAAGGTAACTGTATTAAATGATATAAATATAAAAAGCATACAGACGCATTTTTGCCATCTACAATTTAGAATGCCTTGAATTTTGAATTTTAATAGACTAATAAATCATGTGCGTGCACTCTGTGTGTGATTTGGTGATATACTTGATAATGTCAGATCACACATCATTACAACACTTGCCATATTATCGCAGAAGATACACTGTACTGTATATCGCACACACCAGCCTCGACTTAAGTGGAAAATGGAATCATCCGCGGTTGTGTGAGCACTTGTTTGCACATGAGCAAATTTGTTTTTAGGAGTCTAACTTGCAGATGCCAGACCACTGATTCGTTGAACCTGCTTGCTTGTAGTCTGTGTTCTTCTTCCAACTTTATTTTGTAGTAAGTAACGAATATGCGTCAGGGAAATGTATCGGAGTAAAAGTATACATTTTAATTAGGAAATGTAGTGGAGTTAAAGTGAAAGTTGGCTGAAATATAAAAACTCAAGTAAAGTACAGATACTCCCAAAAAATAGGCTACTTAACTACTGTAACAAATTATTTTCACTTCGTTACATTATTCCACTGGTAAAAACAATGTCTCTTTTTAAAGTAGGAATATGAAATACAATATATTTGTTCTGTTGAAAACTCATTTGTTACACTGAAACTGAGCTCTTGAAGTTTAACGCTGAATGTTTCCTTTGCTTTCCTCTTCCTCTACAGATCTGTGTCCATGTGCTGAAGCAGCGTAAATGTCATTACATCGGGAACTGTAGTTTCGCTCACAGTCAGGAGGAGAAGGATCTGTGGACGTACATGAAGAACAACGACTGTGAGCATTAAATCAAACACAATCAACACTGATGTTCAGTCACAGTCATATGCTGCATGTACTAATCAAGTTTTGTGAAGTTCTGAGGTTTGATTTAGGAATTATAGGATTTTGGGTACAGTTGTTTATAGCAACATTTTTTAATTGCCCATCCAAGTTCAACATTTTTTGACATTTGTTCAACATTTTGATAATTATTGATCTAGGCAGTAATGAGAGTTCTACTTCACTAGTTTTGGTGAGATTAAAAAACCTAAGACGAGAAAACTAGAATTTAGTTAGAAAGTAGGTTTAGTCTTTAAAGTCACCATGAAATCAAAATGGAAAATTCTTATTTTTTAATGGAATACTGTAGTGTTTATTATAAATAATTTATCCGTGCACTTCATTATTTTTTTTAAATTCATGTGCCCTCGTAATCTTTAATCAAAAACGTTAACATCCCCTCCCCCTCAAAACGGCTCATCTTCTCTTCCGGTCACAAGCTATGGCGCAAGTGCGGAGCTGGTGACCTGAGGGGTAAATGCTGGGATAAATGACAGGGGCAAAAGCTGAAGCTGAAGCTGATGCTTCACTTTATAGCACTGACACCAGTCATGAGGGAGTACATTACCCCTAAACATTGAAAAGATATTAGGATATTACCACAACATTACTCTTAGGACATCACAAATTAATTTTTTTCATGAATATGACTTAACCTGATGGAGGACGCGCTCAGTCATTATCTGGGTACTGTCTTGCGTTTTAAAATCACAAAGGGAGTTTGGTCCCATCATGCTAACGTGACAGTCAGGATTCATGCAGCTGTAAGGTTTTCTTTTTCTTTTGTTTTTACTCGCGATCTTTACAACACGCATTACATTACGTATTTCATGGCACACTTGTTTTATGCGTATTTGGCGCCATCTATTGTTGTGGGTGTATTATTGACATGTCAAAGTCTAGACCCTGAATATAAGACGACCGCGTTTTTTCAGATGTATTTCCAAGAAAAAAACATCGTCTTATATTCGGGTCAATACGGTAAGTTGTGACATCATAGCCTAGATATGGTCTGAATTAATGATTGAGGTCACATGTTCTCCACTGCAGTCAGGGACATCCAGCAGGTGTTTGACGTCTGGCTCTCGACCTCCAATCAGAACAGAGCGTCTGACAGCACCTCACCATCTCAGCCAATGGAAGAGAAGCAGATCACCATGCCGACGGACTTTGCTGAAGCAATGGTACGTTCCTGCAGGTTCATTTTCACCATTCTCATGTTTGCTGTCCTCACACATGCTAATCAGTGTTGCCAACTCTCACAAGCTAAATAAGCAACCGCAGCTTCAAAACAAGCCCAATATTTATTATCATCAATATTATTTATGATCAATCGTTTATTATCAATAAATGAGCCTGCAACATAGTAAACTGAAACCACTCTGAGTTTCAAGAGCAAAAACATAAGTTATTTTGCAAAAAATCATTAAATTGCAACAAAGCGGGAGGGCACACACTATCCTCCGATCACCTGCAAGCAGAATAGTTATGGAGAATAAAACAAGACCAGAGCACTAAGGGGGAGCTTTAATATAGCCACATATTTATAATAAAGTAAACTCGAACCATGTATCTACTATTAGTATTACTGCTAATGATTAATGCATTATAAAAATATTTTACAAATTAAATTAGGTCCCTTTACTCCCCTGCACCGTTCACCTTCTCCCATGTTTCCTCCATCTCTGTACATCTCTGTTGGTGGCCTTGTTTGTCTATTTACATCTACTAACGTCACGTGTCTGCAAGTTAAAAGCAATTTTACTCCAATAAGGGGGAGGAGGGGGCACGATGTGCGATGACGAATAACCCTACAGCACATTAATTATTGCACTGATTGGCTTTTACCTGCGAGCAGACAGTGTCAACAATATATTGAGAAAAAAAAAAAAAAACATTGACCATAAATGTATAGAAACAAAGTTGCTTGTCAGGTTTTCCTAACAAGCAACCATATTTTTAAAAATAAGCCCAAATAACGGCAACCCATGATTTTTTTTAACGCGACTTCTCAAAAAAAACATAAAATACGCGGACTTGGCAGCTGTGGTGCTAATGGAGCCGCTTGTGTGTTTGTTACTACAGCTGAACAGTTTCTACTGTTCTCTGTGTGGGAAACACAGCAACAGTGATCGGCAGTGGCAGCAGCACATCTTCACAGAGAAACACAAGCAGAGAGTGTTCAGCGGAGAGGGAGAGGACGAGAGTCTGGCCTGGTCCTATCGCTTCCCTGGACCCTGTTTCTCCATCTGTCCCAGGTTCACTATCATCAAATCCATGAACAACATCAACGATGAAGGGTTTGTTATTACCAGTGGTCTTTGTCCTGATTGGCTGTGGTGTTTGATTGACAGGTTGGAAGATGGCTGTGCTGATGGTGTGAGTTGCGACTTTGCTCACAGTGAGGAGGAGCTTCAGGAGTGGTGTAACCGGAGGGATTTCCTGCGCAGGAGGTTAAACGAAGCCAGAGCCAAAATGCTTATCTCTCCAACTGACAATGAATTTGGCATCTTGAACTTCCTACTTCAGAATCAGGACTAAACAAGCAAGCCTACATTTGTACTTTGTTTATGAGATTTTAATCAGGTGAGAGTTACTGCAGGTGCTGATGAGTGTTCACATGTTTTAATCAAGCTGAAAGATGTTAAACCTTTAGACTGAAACACATCACCCAGAACACGATTCTGACGTGTGTTTGAGTTTGTGTTTGATGAACGGATCTTTTACTTCATGTTGCTTAAATAGAGAATAAATGCTGTTCATACACTTAATAAACGTTTCATCTGTTAGACAGCGATCAGAACATTTTGTCTTTCAGCTGTTGATATGCATTTAAGTTCCTGGATTTCTCCTGCATGCAGTATTTATCCAGGACTTCAGTAAGACAAAGAGGACAGATATTATTTTTTTAAGTTTGTTTTACTTTTACTGTAATTCAGTTTATAAAAGAAAATGAAACTTACACATTGATCACAGTATAATGCAGTAAACATTACTTTTGTGAAACATGTTTGTTATAGTATCGGTTTTTGAATAAATTATGCTTTTATTTGTATTTTTAAGTAACAGATTTTTTTAGCTCTAGAGCTATGGCATGTATTTCTTTTACAGTTCTCTTTTCTTAACCCTTGTTCATGTTCCACGTTCAATTGATATGAATCTTTATTAGAAATCACATTGTGTTCCTTCTAGTTTCAAATGTATTTCTCTTGTCCACAAATAGTCAGTGTTGCAGAGTGTTAGTCACTTAATATCTTAATATTAATATTCTTGTTATTACAACTTTTGAAAAGTTATAGTTTATAATAATTTGTGAGGTAAAGTTGTATTTACTTTTTAATATATTGTAATTTCCCAGTCCATACTTGCATTGCAAATGGACATCATCCTCTGATATATTCTTGAAGCTAGAAATACATTAACCAATCTCATCTGGTTAATGATTTGCTTGCATTATGCAAATGGGGTTGTGGTTACATGAACAATAGTCTTAGATGTTTGATAGTACAGATATGACGCAAACTTTGCTGTTTTCAGTAGTGATGGTGAAACGAAGCTTTGCGAAGCACTGAGACTTTCCCCTCAACTGAATCGTAAAATGGTTCATCATTACTCGAAGCTTTTCAAGACGTTGCACACTAATGACCTCTTGTGGTCAAAGCCAAAGGTGGGAAAAGGTGCCTTTGCATCCCAGATGTCCCAGCCATTTTTGAATCGTTTCATATAATAAATTGTTCTACAATTCTCATTTTACTTAAGTATGAATAAATGAGCCTCTGAATAAATTTATAAAAAAAACTAAGCATAACTCATGTAGGCATATATGATCAAAATAAACAAAGAATATTGTGGAATGGTCCGTTGAAGTGAATGACACTTGAAACATGTGCAATGAGTTCGCGTAATCGCGTTATTTGAATCAGAATATGAAGCAGTCACGTAGTTGAGTGCGAAAACTAAGCTTGGGACTTCACAGATCACGTGGTTATGGCAAAACGAATCAAGCTCCGTCACTTTAGGTGTGTTCAACTTGAAGCGGCGCTGCGCAGACCTATCGGTGTTGACATCAAAGTACCACGAGAGCTATAGAGAGCAGACAGCTCCGTATGTTTTCGAATTGCTCTCGCGGTACTTTGATGTCAAGGTCATAGGTCTGCGCAGCGCCGCTTCAAGTTGAACACACCTAAAGTGACGGAGCTTGATTCGTTTTGCCATAACCACGTGATCTGTGAAGTCCCAAGCTTAGTTTTCGCAGCAGCACTTAAAGTCGAATACACCTATTGCTTCACTGTGAAATGTTTCTTTTGGATACAAGCTTCGAAGTCTTGGTGCCGAACGTCACATCACTAGTTTTCAGCTCAGATTGCGCTTTCTCGTCAGAATTCAGTGCTGGATTTCAACATGTCTAATATGCGTTATTTTACAGTAAATGACATTCAGCAAGTTTTCAGAATGTTCTTTCTCCAGATACAGAAAAGCTGAGAAGTACCAGAATCCATTAATCAAATTAAAATACTTAATCTGCTATATTTATCAAACAATTTATGTAAGTAAATGAATCGGTGTTGTCATAGCAGTATCATTTTTTTGTGGAGATGACAAACTGCGGATCTTATGTCATGTGAATATACCTTAAAGGGGTCCTATTATGCTTTTTCACTTTTTGAATTTTAGTCAGTGTGTAGTGTGTATGTTTGGGCATAAAAAAGATCTACAAAGTTGCAAATCTCAAAGTCCACTCCATAGTGAGATATTTAGTTT